AAGATATCTTTTGAAATGAGGATACCTGCAGTTATAATCAACATTTATTTCTTTTCATACCAGAAGTCTCGTTTTTGCATTCTTTAAGGCTTGAATTAGTCTTAAGCTCGGATTATAAACGTCCAAAGTTTTTGTTACTATCCTGTTTCAATTTTTGTTTTTAAACTAAATTCATATTAATGTTTTTGAGCTACAAAAAACAAACGAGGAAACACGTGAGTCACCAAACCACGTCAATTCATGCTAAAGATATTAGTGCTTAATTTAAGCTATATATGATCATGAATATCTGCAAGAAACAATTTTGATTGCTTGGCCGGAATTAGGCATACAAAGCTGCATAACAAGCGTCAGTAAAGCTTATTACGTTGCTCTAAGAAACGTATTTGTCTACTCAGCTTTGAGATCTGTGTGACTGCCTGAATTACAGCATTGGAGAACTGGATTTGATGAAGGATTATAGATTATGACAAGATCTAGGTATAAACTGTCTCAGCTGGTACTGATATTAATGATACGAGAGAGTCCGCTCCATTTGAGATATAATAATACTGCTATCAAATGATAAGGAAGATTTCCGCTTCCGCTTTCTGAGCCCCAATATTTCTCGGAATTATTGAATAGCGGTCAAAGATAGTGTGGTAAATCATACTCTAACCATCAACAAACGTTCGCCATAAAAAAAATTGTGAGTTAAGGTTTTGTAGCCCTAAGCACTGGTCGTAAACTGATGACGTGAGAAACACAACAAATTATTAGATTTTGATTTTGAGTGCGAATGTGAAAAATGCTGGTGAAATTCTCATAGATGAGGATAACAGCTTAATTTCACAACTATTAGAAAGTACATGAAGAGAGCTTTCCAATGATATGCAGATGCCATATCGAAAAAGAAAGTCTGATGGGAAAAAGTTGTTTGGATTATAGGTCTAAAAAAACGGACATTATTTTTGCAACAACCTAATATTTTCCAGTCGTTTGTCACAATATGCCTCCTTCTTACACTCTTATAAGTAAACCACTGTTCTATATGCCTAGTAAACCTTTAGGTGTTATATTTATAGATAAGAATACAAAGTTTATTTTCAGAATCCTGCTACTCATCTTCATACCAACATCTAAAATTTGGGAAAGTCCTCCTACTTATTTTCGCTTACAAAATCACTTTGTGACCCAAGGGGTTTGAATGCACATTAGACGGACAGATCAGCCGAAAGAATTTTTGTGCTCACTCAGAAGCTGTGATTTTGAAAAATGAAAGCTTGAAATTTTCTACAAACGATTTAGACAAGAAAATTATCATTGCCGGAATTTTGTGCGAAACTCTGTCTGAATCGGAACAAAAACTGTGAATTTCCTAGACTGCTCAGTGAAATGAGCAGGTTGTATTGCACACGAATTAACCGTCGACATCAGCTTCTCCAAGATGCGGTAATGGTCTGCTTCGATATAGTTCTTTGAGAGTTTCAAAGTTTGCAGCGGAGATCGAAGCTCACGGCTATGATCCGCATGATTTGCGCTATATTTAGCTCGTACCTAGGGTTTGCAGATGAGGAACACTCTGCAGGGCAGGGATTGTGATGCTGCAGATGTGACCGGGCTTATCTTCGTAAAGTAGACATACTACAGTAAGCTTAAAGCGGCTCGGTATTTAGATTCAGTCCAAGAGCTTCAAAGGGGATCCTGTGGACTGAATTTACAAGAACTTATAGACTTTTCTGAATGTAGATCGTGGAAGCACACAAGCGATATTATCCGAACCCATCACGAAGCGCAGCAGAGCACTTCAGAGTGATCATTTCGTATACGAGGACTTACAAATCAGTGCCCTCGTCGATTAAAAATAGCCAAAATTTATGTTTTTTTATTCATTTTCCATCCACTTTCAGATAGTGAATGGACTACTGCCCATGCAAGGTGGGAGCGAAACAGCAAAGGGCAATTCCATATTGTCAGGCATGTCTGAAAACATAAACAGTAGAAAATGATGAGAGAAGTCTCGAATCGTCAGAGAGTACCCGTTTAGGGCACTATGCGAGCAAACTAGGTACCTAAAACTCTTATGTTGTCTGATAAAGACTGTAAGGTCTTGGCTGAATTCGTGCCAAAGCTGCAGTTCATAGAGTATATTCGCAGTCATAATTAGAATTTAGACTCCAGCGCGGAACGCACTACCGTACTTTCTACCGTAAACAAGGACTCATTGGCGCCGCAGAAAGAAGTCCGATTTGGAATTTTGGATATGAGTTAACAGCGAAATGTCATCAAAAACCAGGAGCACTGGTTATTAATGAGATATGAAAGATGAGATGAAGACAGCTGTGTGTATATACTTACATTCGTTGTTTCTGCTTGGGAAACATACAACTTCGTTTTTGCACTTCAGACACTCAAGGTTATATATAACCTTTTAGCCGTAATCTTGTCATCCGAGATTATGTCCATCCTATTGCTTGTGAAATGAGGAAACAAATAATAATCTTATTACAGAACTGCATAACCGCGTCACCAGAGCTTATCATATTCTGAGAGACTTATTCACACAGCTTTGTGGACTACCTGGAATACGGTACGTAATGGAGAACTGGGTTGCATGATGGATTAATTATGACAAGATCTTGGCATAAACAGCCTTAGCTGATATTATTGGATGATTTGAACGGGTTTGCTCCATTTAAGAAGATATCACTGCTATCGAATGATAAGGAAGTTTTCAGCTTCCGCATTTGAGCTCTAATATTTTTTAGAATTAAAGGCAGCGGCCAAAGGTGTAAGAGCGGTGAATCATACTTACAATAAGAAAATCCGTTTGGCAGACAAAAAAGAAAATTTTTTGAGATTTTTTTTGTTATCCTAAGTGCTGGCCAGTTGACGGCTTACGACGAATTCGCAACAAAAGTATTTCCAGATTTTTCGGGCAAGCCTTCAGCTCAGAACACTAATAAATATTAGGTTGCAAAAACAATGTCCGTTTTGCAAATTTTCATTTTGGAAGGCTACAACTTTGCCCACTCCCCATATTCTTGAATGCAGTAAGAATGTCAGAAACAGTAAACCTTTTGTGACTTAGCGCGCACCCGCTCATACTGATACAAACCGGAGGAGAGCCATGAGTCAAAAAACTGAAGTTTTTTTTGAGAACCTCGTCTTCAAAAGCTTATAACTCCCTTTAAGTTTCCAGTGGCTGGCAATCAGCTTATTTTGTAGCCGCAGGCCAATAGTATACATGTGTATAGACCTCCAACGAAGAGTTCTGCGAAAAGAAAAGATAAAAATTCAAAATTGTTCACTTTTTTGAGCCTGTTTGTTGAAAGCTTTTGAGTGTCAAATTATGGAAGTTTGGACTTCTTAGCGCACTGAATGGCTACGTTTCTCTTCAAATATTGTAGTTAAGGTGTGCTAAACTCAAGCTTACAGAAATGGGCGAAGCTTTGGCGATTGTCTCAATTATGAGAAATTTTTGACACATAGAATGCCAGCAGCGTATCTATTTTGAGGCGTCAATTTCTCAATTTTGATGACCCCAAAAATTTACGTAAGCATGCAGCAGGTAGACAGTCTTCAACCAATACAACTGCTATGTTTTCAGAAGAATTCGTTCATTTGCTCCTGATTTGTGGGGAAAGTGAAACCTATGCGATTACGATTTTGAGCGCAGGTGTGCAAAATGCTGGCAAAACTCTCACAGATGAGGATAGAAGCTTAATTCCACCATCTTGAAAGTACATGAAGAAAGCTTTCTAATGATATGCAGAATCTATATCGAAATAGAAAGTTTGATGGGAAAAAGTCATTCGAAATATAGGCCGAGAAAAACGGACGTTATTTTTGCAACAGCTTAATATAAATCTTTACAGTTCTGAATCCCCAACAGACTCGCAGTTGTTTTTTTTTTCAAAGATAGAGACAATACTTTCCCAAAATTAAGTCACTTAAGTCTCTTCACACAAGATTTCAAACTTGGGAAAATCATTTTATTTATTTTCCTTCAATATGCCTTTAACAAGTGAAAAGTTATTTTGTGACCAACTAGATTTGAATGCATATTCTTCGCGACTCGACCTGAATATCCAGAAAAAATCGAATTTTATTTGTATTTGTTTTTTTTTGATATAATCGCTCTTTCTAATACTCGTCACGTATCTAACTGTTTGCAACTATTGCTTCAAAATATCAACAATTTAGTTTACAGCAAATTCTTCGCAAAGCTTGTATCTTTTTAAACTTCCTGTATTCTTTCTCCTTCAGGGATAGAAGACTGGGGATATTTGTATGAAGAGTGATTCATGAATGTTTGGACAAACGATTTGGCCAAAAAATATCATTCACACGTTCCCTTCTGGAACCGTGCTTAGGTGCAAAGAGAAACTAACAATAAGGTAATTTTCCTAAATTGCTTCCCGAAAAAAGGACAAAGTATTACAAATGATTTAACTGTTAACACATGGCTTCTCCAAAATGAAGAATGCGATCTCATCTACACAAATTATTATATTTTGAATTGTTTGAGAATTTCAGAGTTTGTAGCGAAAGATCGAAGCTCAGGGCTATATGCACGTTATCTGCGCTATATTTACTTTGCACCGGCTTAGAGTAGATGACGGATTATGATGCTGCAGATATGACCGAGCTTATCTTATGTAAATAGGACAATCTACAGTAAGCTCTGCTAATAAATATTATCGACGGATCAGATTCAGAAGCAAAGCTGTTGGGTTGTCAAGATTCTATAATTTGTAAAAAAGTAAATCTCCGTCAAAATCTTGTCCAAAAGGATTCAGACATCACAGTCTTTGTCTGAGGTGAGAGACAAGCACAAATATGTATAGTCATTTTCTTGAAATTTTCTGCTCACTTTTACACACGTAATGTTTTCACAAGAAACGCGGACCTGTAGATTACTACGAACCTTATATGCTTGTGCAAGCAAATTGGGTACATAGGATTGTTATGTGGAAACTTTTTTAAAGACTCCTGATCACATCATTCTCAGGTGGTACCTTGTAATGTGTACATTTGCCCAGCACCGTATTCTTTTCGATGAGATCAACCGGGGCTCTAGAGCAAGATAGGTGAGAGTTGAGAATTGATTTGGCCCACGAATAAATCACGAATGCCGCCTGGAAAATGGCCTAGCTAATACCTGCAATTGTTCATATAAGAAGTCTACGTACCTTAAGTTGCCTAAGCAATCTTTTCAAAAAGACAATATGCTCTTTTCCCGAGAAGAGTGGAGATTTTTGTGGCTGCTACTGTAGCGTAGAGATTTGGAGATGTACCAAAATAAATACCTTACAAGAATTCATAAGATATGTTGTAAGCCACGCAGGTTTGTTAAGTTCTTTCTTTTGGTCTAACGTTTCGGCAAAAATGCCTTCCTCAGAGACCTGAAAGAAAGCCTCGTACTTGTTTTCCACTCTGTACTGTCAAATCTCTCTTCTCAGCTAGCTCAGTTCGATGTCCTAGGGGCAAACATGCTGAGACAATACTTTGTAAGTAGCGTACCAAGTTCTTCACCAATCAGGCAACAACAGATGTTTGAGATCCACTGGTGGTAATAGACTAAAAAAACTGACCGATATGGGCAGCTTGAGTAGTAGTGGATATGTTATTCTTAAGTGACAATATGACAGAAATGACATCAAATCACTTGTGATGGAGAGCTGCTCATTCTTTCCGTTTAGTTTAGGTTCGCGCGAAAGAATGTATGCCGCTTCAAGCGCTTTGCGAGCAGCAATTTTCGACTCGTGACCTAGGATGATGCACTTGATACTGAAGTCATTGCCGTGATGCTATCTTTCTGTGTTTCCCTAGCGGACTTGACATGCTTTCCCGTCTTCTACTAGACAAGTGTTCATTGATTCGCACGCTGAGTTGACGACCAGTTTCCCCTATGTAGGTAGCGTGGCATTCTAGACATTCAATTTCGTAGATAATGCCAAACTTGGTACAGTCTCCCATCCTTCCGTAAGGACAAATGACGCAATCCCTCGTAATACAGGCTGTATCGTATAAACGATTACGCACTAGCTGTCGCTTGATATTGCTTCGCGGGACGCTTACGAGAACAACATCTTGCTCCAACCGAGCTTGTATTATGCAATTCTGGAAAGCGTGCTTTACCTTATCGGAGATAAACGGTAGACATAATGGGATTCTGGTACGAGCTTGGCTATCATCATTATTTGCGGTGTTTTTGAAAGGTCTAGACCTTGATGAGAAGTAGCCCTTGGAAGCTGCTATCTCATTTGCCAGTTCAAGGGACTCTTGTCGTCCACTCTCCCCACTGCAGACTTCTCTTGCCGTTTTATGCATGTTCCGCAGCACAGCTCGTTTTACGGCCATCGGATGGGCTGATTTCGCGTGTAAGATGATATTTTTGGAGCTCTCTTTGCGATACCATTTTACTCGCATCGTACCGTTACTTACTTACTTACATCTTATACGCAAAATCAGCCCATCAAAATCAGCCGTAAACGAGCTGTGCTGCGGAACATTTATAAAACGGCGAAAAGTCTGCAGTGGGGAGAGTGAACGATAAGAGTCCCTTGAACAGGCAAATGAGATAGCAGCTTCCAATGGCTACTTCTCATCAAGGTCTAGACATTTCAAAAACATCGCAAATAATGATGATAGCCAAGCTCGTACCAGAATCCCATTATGTCTACCGTTTATCTCCGATAAGGTAAAGCACGCTTTCCAGAATTGCATAATACAAGCTCGGTTGGAGCAAGATGTTGTTCTCGTAAGCGTCCCGCGAAGCAATATCAAGCGACAGCTAGTGCGTAATCGTTTATACGATACAGCCTGTATTACGAGGGATTGCGTCATTTGTCCTTACGGAAGGATGGGAGACTGTACCAAGTTTGGCATTATCTACGAAATTGAATGTCTAGAATGCCACGCTACCTACATAGGGGAAACTGGTCGTCAACTCAGCGTGCGAATCAATGAACACTTGTCTAGTAGAAGACGGGAAAGTATGTCAAGTCCGCTATGGAAACACAGAAAGGTAGATCATCACGGCAATGACTTCAGTATTAAGTGCATCATCCTAGGTCACGAGTCGAAAATCGCTGCTCGCAAAGCGCTTGAAGCGGCATACATTCTTTCGCGCGAACCTAAACTAAACGGAAAGAATGAGCAGCTCTCCATCACAAGTGACTTGATGCCATTTCTGTCATATTGTCACTTATAGATAACATATCCACTACTACTCAAGCTGCCCATATCGGTCAGTTTTTTTAGTCTATTACCACCAGTGGATCTCAAACATCTGTTGTTGCCTGATTGGTGAAGAACTTGATACGCTACTTACAAAGTATTGTCTCAGCATGTTTGCCCCTAGGACATCGAACTGAGCTAGCTGAGAAGAGAGATTTGACAGTACAGAGTGGAAAAGTACGAGGCTTTCTTTGAGGTCTCTGAGGAAGGCATTTTTGCTGAAACGTTAGACCGAAATAAAGAACTTTACAAACCTACGTGGCTTACAACATATCTTATGAATTCAAACAATGCCCAGGTTTCGTGATCAGAGAGCGTATAGAATATCTTACAAGAATCATTTTCTGATGATTCTACAGCAAAAAGAATAGAAAAGAAATTTAAGCAAGATTTAGTGATCTCAACAACTCAACTATGCCCGTTTAAAGAGGAATAGTTCACTGTACATGAATTGGGCAATATACATGTACAATATACATGTATATTTCATAATTATTCCTACAAAAGAATTTCGCACAACATCCTTTAGAAAAATCCTTGCAAAATGGGTAGGGGAACGAAAGCCGCCAGTTTGAGCTGCCTTTCGCGGCCAACTGGTCCTTTCGCAGTGTTGTTGCATGTCGTTCCAGGACCAGCAGTCCGCGGAGGCGGCCCAAACTGGCGGCTTTCGTTCCCCTGCCCTTGCAAAATCAACGCTTGGTGCTGTTCCTGACGAGAAAGAAATTGTTGTACCGTAATTTTTCAGCAGCAAAGACCATTTCTTTGACGTGCGTCATTCTGATGACTTCTCTTGAAAAAATAACTATTCGTAGAAGTAGTGATGGAAATGGAGAATGAGAAGAGTAAACAAGATTCTGCACTTTGATGAGCAGTCAAGACTTTCCCGAGCGTCGTCAAGAAAAGAGCGGAGATGTCTATATCGGTAAGTGAAAAATAGAAGAAAATGGGGACAATATTGGGAGGATAATTGAAAAGCTTTTGCGGAATAATAATTTATTTGAAACCATTGAAATTGTGTTTCATTTCTAGCATAAAGGTATACTTGTCCAGAGACTGCTTTAAAAATGTAAATCTTCGCACCTTTAATTATGTATTGCTTCTACATATTTTACTTCATATCACTAAAATCAGATAGATGCAAAGAACACTCATCTGTTAAGGGCCGAGCATATTTCACGCGATTTCAGTCGCGACCGATTTGGCAATTTTGGTGGGTACCAAGTGATTAGGGGGTAGACGAGTTGTGGAATAAGGTTTATTCGCACGGGCGTAGATTATTGTCTATAATACAGTCGGGGGATCCTTACATACACGGATACGAGGCGGAGCTTGCCCGGGTATAAAATACAACGTAGGAGAGGTACATGGCTTAAAAGGAGTTGCCGCCGTTCGGCCACACTCCTGGTGCACAGGTGCCAATCATTCTTGAGTGATTAGATACTCAAGAATGAATGGCGTACAATTGAGCGTTGGGGATCCCATCGGCGATATGGAAAAATGGATTGATTAGGTTGATGATATAGGAATCATCAACAGCAACTCCAGCTCAAAACTCACTTTAAGTATATTTTTAAATGTACAGAAGATAGGGCATTTCATCAATCCAAGTAAGTCATACACGCTATGCATGTGCAGTTCACTAGCGTTGGATCTGAAGACTTCTGGCGAATTGCCAAATCGCACGCGGCTGAAATCGCTTGAAGTATCCGGCCCTTTAGCCTCACTGAGACGTACGTAGGTCGCTGGATAAGATTGGTTTTTTTATTGACACAGAAACCATTGTATTGAGAAAACTCCTGTTAGTATCTTGTGCTAGGTGAAGAATGCTTAGGCAGTTTTTTGAGGTCTTTAGGGTACGAAACCGTAGCGCGTATTTTTTGCAGATTCCTATACGTTTTTTTTCTTCCGAGTTGGAGGAAATTTTTACTACAAAGTTATTAGATAGCTGACCATTTGAAACATGGGCCTTGCATTATTGAATTTATAATCGGTTGTGACCAGTAAAAGCTCTTTGAAAATAATTGCTTTTTTCCGATAGTAAGTGCTGCAGTAGCAAAGAAAAGAGCGATGAAGAATTGAAAGGGGGTGAGTGTGAAGAACTGCAATTCTACTAGATTTGTTACCCAACACTCAAAGTGAAAATAAGTACTTGTGAAATGACGCAGTGAGTTCTAATTAATTTACAATGGCAGTCTCGTGGCCAATATTCAGAGGCAATTTTGTGTCCAGACTTTTTCTCATGAAACGAAAGGGCTAAGTGGGAAAATAATTAAGCAAGTGTTGCTTATTAATCAAAAATACAACAAGTGATTCTTATGCAACACATTGTTAAATTTGAGTGGATTGTTCTTCAGCTAAAAAGCAATGGCTATATTCAAAAATAAGTCGTTTATTTTGCTGCACTCTACTGTCATAAATTGGATTGAAATTCAGTCACTTTTATAGAAATCTTATTTATTTCTTACATTTTTACGAAGGTAATGAAAGTGGTATCTCCTTTATTACATAAAAAAAATGGAAAGAGGAAATTCCAACCAGTGAAAAAACTTTTACACTATTCTTGCTGTATTAATTTATACAGTCAAAGTAAAAACTAGTATCCACAACTTATGAACATGAGCAATCTCATTTTGTGCATTTTCAGAAGGATCGTTACTCTTCTTTGTGAAGAAACATCAATTAATATATCGTGCAGAAATGTCAAATATCACAATTTGTATTTTTTAGGTACAGCCATATTATAGTATCTATACTTTGGAATGCTAATTTATTTAATCCGCTATACTAGAATTCAATAACGAGTTCAGATCCGATTAGATCAAACTTTCGTTCCTCACATGACCCAGGAATTTCAGTTCACTTAAACATAGAACAAATCCAAACCGGCAGACTGTTTGTTGCCTGCTTATTTCTTCTGACGCAAGTTGAAGAGATCAACCAATTCTAACAGATAAAACTATGTACTACTGTACGAATATTATAATCATCATAATCCGAAACTCATCCCACACTACCCAGACATTTCGATTCAGTCCAATTCACAACGAATTTAAACCCGCAACTGTTAGTTAGATACCTATTTATATCTTCTGACGCAAGTCATGAAGCGATCACCCAAATAGGTTTAACAAATATAGCTATGCTTACAGTACCAGTATTATAGCAGTGTTAGCAAATAATCTATCATAACGAATAGTCTGAGCATGGATAAGATGAGCTAGATTTGATTACGATGTTGATTTGGAGTTGAAACTATTTTAGACATCGTTCTACTGTATAAGATCGACCCACATGGGGAAATACGATTCGAGAATTTAAGGGTTATTTTGTTCTTAAGAAAGACGCAAGGTCGAGATACTGTATAGCAAAGTTAGTGTAGGTAAGCGTTGATAAAGATCGAGTACGAAAACTGCTTAAAATCGTCGTAAAAAGACGTGATTTTTCTGAGATAGTAAGTGCATACTTCGAAAATAAGGATGGGTAGCGCACTATTCTAACAAAAAATTCACCAATTTAATGGATCGACTCCTTTCGTTTTTGGTCAGAAGGCTGAGGCTCTGTAAGTATTTTTATATGCTGATAGCGAATATGCTGGTTTTGGAAATGGTTAATACTATTAAATTTTTCATTGAGACCTACATGTAGTAGGACAACGCATCGCACTCTGGAATTTCACAAGTTGAATGACTTCCATATTTCCGTTGGACTCAAAATGAAAAAAGAGTTCATAAAAACCGCGAAATTTGAACTCTTGCCTTTACTGCGCTAGAAGTGATGATGCAAAAAACGCTCTGATGTGAAGGCAGGAACCAAAAACAAATTTTTTACACTTGTATTGAATAGATTCTGAAAATCATTCAAATTCTCAAGGGTATCAAACTAAGGGACGAATCGCTTTTAAGCCAAAACGTCTTTCAGTGGTTCTTCACTCTTTCCAACACTGAATGACACCCTGAGCTGTACTTTGCTGCTAGACGTTTAAATGTCTTCTGCAGTCTTACTGAGCCATGCTCTTATAATTACTATCTAAGGTACCAGTTCGCGGCATAGGTGTCTTGGTAAGCAAGCTGGATATCGTTTTTGGGACAAAAAGCAAAGGGGGTTTCGTTTTTGAGACTGAAAAGACACAAAAACTGGGACGTTTTTGTCGACGTTTCGTGTTTTGAGGGTTTTTTAGGTTTAGGGATAAAGGTCAGAGGGGACTTCGTAAAAAATTCTCGAAAGTCAAGGCGGACATCGTTTTTTGCATTTTTCAAAAGCCACCTCGTGCCGAGCCTTGTAAGGTACGTTGGATAAAGTGAATCCAGACTATGATAGGTATGGACTATGTGAGATTGTGACATGATATGATGTATATATACTTTCGTAAAAACTACGACCTTATCTTGACTATGAGCATACACGACAAAATGTTGTTTAAAACTTTTTCTGAGACTCTTTCCAGCTATTCGTGTTAGAAAGATAATCTCCAAAGGGATATGTCACCCAAAATTCTTATGCGGAACCTGCCGCAAGGCCCCAACTAAACCATTTTCTGAGCGATTATCAACCTACCTGCACATAAAAAAAACTAACAAGGAGAGGATACTTAGTCGAAAGCACCAATCCAGATGAGACATATATCATCTTAACACATTGACGACAATGTGACCCATATGGTGGGTCATGCAATGACCGTGGTTTAAGAACTTCTATTATGCTTAATTCCTAGGAATTGCTTTCGCGTTTCTTAGCTGCTTCTCACAATCAGAATCACTGTAGGGATACTGCAATGACGGCCTGTTTGATTTCAGCTAAAAATACTCAACTTATTGTAAATGGGACTGTCCCACAAGCCAGGCAGCTAAAAATGCACGCTGTCGTCAACTTGTTAAAGCGCTTGAAACGCTGATTCTAAATCTGCAGTTTCTAGCTGCGGAGCGGTTTTTTAGAAGGAGTTGTGAGAAGTGTTTCCTCTGGGGTTGAGGCGCCCTCCAGCGGTCTCCCCTTATCTGTAAGCACTGTAGAGGAGTATCAGCTGATGGCAGCCGACCTAATGGTAAGTAACTTGAATGAAGATTACAGTAGGTTATAATACTCATATTACATGATTAGGGCTCTAAACCATTTAGAAGTTCAATTTAGCATGCGAAGGGGATTAAACCCTTGACACTCTCTTTATCAAGCACGTAACTTACCACTAGATCAGTTGCCACCAGTTGGTACTCTTCTACACTGCTCATAGGTAGGGGGAGACCTGATGGAGGGCGCCTCAACCCCAGAGGAAACACCCCTCATAACTCCTTCTACAGAACCGCTCCCAGCTAGAAACTGCAGATTTGGAATCAGCGTTTCAAGCGCTTTAAGATGATATATGTCTCATCTGGATTGGCGCTTTCGACTAAGTATCCTCTCCTTGTAAGTACCCAAATATTTCTGGACACTACCGGCATAATATGTTCAGTTATTGATTTGAGTTAAGACTGGTTTAGCTCGAATGGAATAGTGTGGCGTTTCAAATTTTGGAGGATTTGCTCGTCTGAACTGATTGCAAACTTGAAGGTGCCGATTTCATCCATGCTAAGAACTTATCAATTCTTTTTTGAACTCACCTGTATCATATGGGCAGAATGAGATATTAAGTTCATTTTATGCATCCGCGGAAGTCACAAAAAGGTGTCTTTTTGAAATCAGAAAAGTGCTCATTCATGAGTAAAAAGCTGACTGAAAATCTAGCAAATCTGTGGTATTGTCATCAGCACAATTCATTTAGCTAAGCAGACATCAACGCCTGCAC